AAAATTATATTGTACAATATCAATTTCAAGTCGTTTAAAATCAGTATCCAAAAATTGAACAAGCGTCGATTTTTTCAATCTCTAATAAAAAAAGTGCCACCCGAAATCAATCAAAATTTCGTTGGACAAAAAAAAAATAAAAACAAAATAAAACTCCGAAGATCAAGTTTGGTAATTCTATTTATTTTGTATAGTAACCCAACTTAAATTATATATTTCAAAAATATCTTCATTATTAACAAAATTATTTTTTACTTATAAAATTAATTATTATTGTAGAAGAATTGTTTACATGCATTCATGAATAGTTTGTTAAATTATTGATGAACAATTTTTTAATATTTGTATATGTACTACATGTTTATATTAATTGACGAAAAATAAAGGTTTTTTTTTAATTAACATATTAAAATGACATTTTTCACTCAAACTAGTACTAAGCACATGCGTTATACGCGAATGATTTAGATATGCGTACTAAATGCTGTTTTTTTAAATTAGTTAAGGTGATTGATATTGTTAAATGAAAAAATTAAAATTTTAAAAATAATATATATGAATAAAAGTTTTTATGAAATTATGTATAGAATGTGAAAACGTTGAATAAGGTTAATTGCTCTTATTTTTTCATTTCGAATTTAGGGGGTGTTTGATAGGCATTTTTGTGTAAAAATACATTTTAGAATAGTAAATTGATGTGAAATATGTGGTTGAAAAATAAGAAAATATTTTTGATTTACGTGTAATATTATTTTAATAAAAAATGTGTGATTAAAAAGAAGAAAGAGAAAAATACATTTTGAAGAAAATGACTATCAAACGGGCTCTTAGTATGTTTTTCCTTCATTTCTCAAGCATGGGGAAAACTTTCCCTTAAAAGACATAGGTTAAAAATTACTTCCCAAAAAACATTATAAAAAAAATAACTTATTAGTTTACGAGTGAAACTTCTATAAGAAAAGTATTGGCTAGCCCTAACATTATATAATACCTACTCATCACAGAAAATTAGTTTTAAACCTTTGTTTGGTAATATCAATCCTACAAATATGAAAAAAAATTTAAGATACACAACAAAAATATACCTTAACAATTGACAAAATGGAAAAAGTTAATATTTTTCAAATTAAACTGACGTCTTGTAGCAATTTGTTTGAAGTACACATTAGTAAATATTATTATTACTTTTATCTTGCTTACCTATCAGTAAAAAAATAAAAAATAAAAAATAAAAAAAATAGAATAATGTTATCTAGCACTAATGGTGTTGAACATTAGTTCAAGAGTAAACATGTCATATGTCATAATAAATTAATTATATATTCTTATATTTAATTGAATTTATAATTTAATGATAAAAGTACTATCACTTGGATCAATATTAAATATCAATAATGTTAAATAACATTTTTCTAAAAGATATAATTTAATAAAGAAATGACTGATGAAGAAAATTACAATAGTATTTACGTTGGGAGGAGTTCCATAAATAGGGCCTATTTGAGAGCGATTTTTTGCCCAAAAAATTGATTTTTTGACCGTTATTTCACTATTTCAGCCGTCATATTTGACTTCTTCTCTCGCGGGTGGACTTCACTTTTCTCCTAATAGTCAAAAAATCAATTCTCAAAATCACTCTCAAACGGGCTAATAATAACTGGACAACCGGATTCCGTGGAAAAACTTTAAGCAATAGTTTAAGAATAACTTTAATAAAGCTTAAGGAAAAAAAAATATTAACTTTAAAAACTGGCCAACCGGATTCCATGGAAAAACTTTAAGCAATAATTTAAGAATAACTTTATTTACAATATTTTTATTTTTTATTTTTTGATGAGGGAGGTAGAAAATTCAAAATTTTAAAAATTTACCATGGAAATCAGTGTTTAAGGGAAAGAAAATTTAATTACAGAGTTGTACTCAAGTTTGGGATCTTTTGTAGATTTATTTCAAATTTAGGAGACGAAAGTAATTTTGAAAATATCGGTTTTAGGAAAGGACTAAAAATAAAGTAATTATATTCCCACTATATATTTTACTTATTATACCACATTTTAATATCATTCAAGGTCCTCAATCTTAGATAACAGTAACTCTATTGTCCTTTCTTTTATGTTTTACACATTCTTTTGTTTCCTTTATTTTATGTTTTACACATTCTTTTGTTTAACTTTATTAATTAGCACATATCATTTCTTATAATAGTTTATGTGAAACAAGTTCGTTTAAAAATAGATTATGTATATAGAACCTATAAACCTATTAAAAGTGTACGGCCCAAAGAAACTTAAATTTAAAGACAAATTTATTTTATTTTTACTCCAATATTGGAATGCACAATTTTGACCAAAAAAAATAAAAATAAAAATAAAAATGGGGGGAGAGAGAGAATAATTCGCAAAAATCAACCCATTGACACAACAGGGAAAAAATACATTTTACACAAAATTAAAATAAAGCTTACACATCACAACGAATTTTAAAGTGTACACATTGTACGACAAATTTCGTGGATAAAAAAAAATATAGAAATTGTTGTAAATTGATTGTTATGAGCAATGTAGGTCGATCTTCTTGTGATGATGAAATTGTACAGTCCTTTAATTGACGATCAGAGTGTTCGAAGATGATAGATCACGTAATTTGAATCTTGAACTTCAAGGTTTATTGAAAATTTGATTTGTTGAGAATTTTGCTAGGACTTGGATTTCAAAATTGGATTTGTAATTCAGGGTTTGAAAAAAAAAATAATAATAAATTCCGTACTTCAATCACTCAAAACCTTTGAGAACTTGGCACTTCAACCCTCATGAAACATCCGCTTCACCAACGCGAGGAATTAATGACCCAAATGGTCACGAAACTTTACAAAAAGTTTTCACCAGGTCACTAAACTTTAAAAATCATTCAAATCATCAATG